TGGGAGTCCTCCTGCGAGGAGACTGTCCAGGGAAAGTGCCCCGACCGCGGGTAGGGCTGGTGCCCACTGTGGTTGGACACAGAGGAACAGTAACAGTTATCCACCGAGCAGACGAGGATTTTGCGCCCACCGTACTGGGAGAGCACGGACTGCTGAGATGACGTGGTGTTGGGGTAGTGAGATGGGTTGAAGACGGAGCCTGAGTGCACTGGCTGCGGGCCGCTGGGAAGTCCAACTATGTGCTGTGTGGAGCTACAAGGCACCATGGCTTGTGCAGACTGCCCCTCGCCAGCTGAAGCGCCCTGGCTCATGTACTGGCTCGCCACAGTCCCAGAAGATGGCTCGAGGAAGCTGCCCTCGGGAAAGAGTGCTTGCGCTTCTCCGCGCCGGAGTTGCTGACGGTGCAGGAGTACATGGGGATGCTCTGCAGGAAGGGGACGGGTGTGCTCAGAGGACCTGCAGAAGGGAACAGGAGAGGGGGACCACGTCAGGCACAGCACGGCAAAGCTCTGAGGTGCTCTGGCTGCTGGTTTGAACCTGCAGCAAAGCCACGAGACCCATGCTCCAGCCCCACATGAGCAGAGGGTCCCCCAGCCTGCCCAACTTAGTAGCAAACTGGGCACACAGCCATATGCAGGTGACTCTGCAGGGTCTGTGCTGGGACCCGTCCGGCAGGCTCAGAGTGGCCCCAAGCACTGTTCTGCAAACATGTGCTCAGGCTGAGACCGTGCACAGCTTGTGACCACCATCCATAACAGGATCAGAGCAGGACAGCCTGGGTGACAAACCCAAATCCCCCAAGGAGAGAGGACTGGGAAGTCTCCACAGGACGTGGTCTGCTCCCACATGTGTGCTGGGGACTGCGGGACCACACTGGGCCCTGGCTGTCCCTGCCCACATACTGACCCCCATCTTTCCACCGACTTTTCCTGCCAATGGCCAGCCCCCCTTCTGTGTCACTCTAAAACACAGCTGTTTCACAAGCCAAGGAGAATGTCCTGAGGAGAGCCAGGAGCTGGCTTAACGGCATTTCTGTGTCCCCACTGACCACACAGGGGTTCCCATGGGTCCCTGCATCCCGACAGCTCTCCCCACCCTCTTGTACTGCGATCCATCTGCATGGCACCCAGCTATGGATACAGAAGGTAGCCAGGTCCCGTGCCCCTCCTCGGCACCTCTCAGGCTTCACGCACCTTCCAGCAACTTCCTGAGCTGCTTCTCCTTCTTGGCGATCTCATTCAGGAAGAGCTTGGAGTTGAGGTGGCCAATTTTGGGTGGGGGCAGGCTGCCACCTGTACAGTTCTGGGTCCTGTTGGGGACCGCAGGCAGAGAGGAGAGGTGTGAGGGACAAAGCACACTCAGGGGAGGGTCAGAAAGCCCCCATGTTCCTTCCCCAGCACCTTCCCAGGGCTGAACCCCTTCCCCAGGGAGGCAGTGCCAAGGGCAGTGGGGAGGTGGCCCTCTGCAATGGGTCAGTCCCCTCCCAGCAGGACCTTCCCCATCCAGCCTCTCTGTGAATGTCCTGTGCCAACATGCACCTCCCATAGCCCCTGTATCCCCCCACATCGCCACCCCATCTCGCCCCGGCTCTGCTAGCGCTGGCTTTAACCTCGGGCCCTGGAGCAAGGAGGAGAGCAGAGCTGGACTGAGCCCTGCACCCCAACCTGGCTGGTCCCATCCTGGCTGGGGTGCTGGGTCCCAGCTCTGCTCTTCCACAAACACATCACTGCATTCCTGTAGTCCAAGTAGAGGACTTGACTCAACACCCCCAGGAGGGGAGTTTTTATCCTCACAGACATAGAGGGAAACTGAGGCATGGAGCACGCCTCTCCCAGGCCCTGCAGAATCCCTGGTCCTGGCTCCTGTTTCAGACGTTGTGCTGCTGCTACCCCCATGACACCCTCCGTCCCCCCGAACATGCCTGCCCTGCCACACTTACCTGTCCATTAAGATTTTCACAGACTTGGTGTTCTAGGAGGGGAAGGAGAAGCCCTGGTCAGTAAGGACAGTCCACTTCCCCAGTGTCACATTCTGCAGCCCCGCAGGAGGGGACAGGCTGCCCAAGAGTGCCAAGCCCCTTCTCCCCGCAGCACAGGCTGCCCCCACCCCATCCTCAGCTGTGGCATCTCCTCGTACGAGGCCGGCACTGAGCCTGCCCGACTCTTCCTCACCTTCCCCCACTGCTGAGCCCTCCAGAGGCACCAGCAAGTCCCCATCAGTGCCCCCAGCCCACTTTGCAATGCTCCCTACACAACCAGACCTGCCCCTGGCATACTCCCACCCCCAGCACGGGCAGCTCATCTCACCTTCATGAAGTTGATGTCCTCAGTTTTGTCAAACATAACCTGGACAGAGCTGAGGAGCTTCTTGGCCTCCTGCATGCGCTCATTGAGGTGGAGGACCTGGGCCGCGTTCTCGTTGCAGAACTTGGCCTGGGCCTTGTCCAGGATCTCCATGGTCTTCCGCAAGTCCTCATCCAAGATCTGGTGCATCTTCTCGTACTGCAGGCGCACCTCGTCCTTCAGCTGGCTCACCTTCTCCTGGGGGAGAGGAGCAGGGTCAACCCCTCAGTGCCCTCCAGCCTCTGCCATGACTCCCCAGGAACCTGGGTCCTTTCTCCAGCAGGGATGGGTGCAACCCAAGAGCTCCCCACAGCTCTGCTCTCCTGCAACACCCACACACACCAAACTCTGCAGTCAGCTGTCACGTGGGACCCTATGTGCCAGAGTCCCAACAGGGCCACTGTGGAGGTTTGGCTCATCCAGCAGATCCCTTGGACCTACCTCCTGGGGTCTAGGTGGGGATCACCTCCAGAGAGCTAATGCCAAGCAGCAACCTGACACACCACTGAGGCAGGTGTGCTCCCTTGAAGAACCCTGCCTGTCCCCATCTTCATCCCCATCCCCATCCCCATCCTTGTCCTCATCCCCACCCCAGGCTGGGGTCACATTATGCTCCACAGCCGTTCCCTCCACGCTCTGGGAGGCTGAGGTCCTTTAAGGACATGAGCTGATCTTGTTTAACCTGTGTCCCAGCAAAACACAACCTGCTCTTCCACCTCCTGGGTGTTTCTGGGGTTTACTTGGGGATCTCCCATCTCCAGACCCTCCCCTCCCACTCAGGATGAAGTAGGTGGCCTGGGGAAGGCTGTGCTGAGCTGAGGCAGGCGGGGCCACCTGATATTTAAGGACAGCCTCGCTCCTTGCCTCCCAACTCATCCTGGGACCCACAGGGCTGTAGGGCATCCCCAAACACATCTCATCTCCCAAAAGTATGACTGCCAGGACAGGAATGGAGACAGCAGGTCCGGCTGGCTGATCGCTCTTCCCCTGCCTGTTTTCCCTCCTCCCTGGCCACCTGGCCCCTTTGCCCTGGGAGCCTGTCCCCATCATGCCATGTGGTGACAGTCCCTGGAGCTGGCCACAACAGGGTGAAGCACCAGTTACCTCAACCAGCCGTTTATCCGATTCCAGCTTGTAGAGCTGCTCTTCAATGTCTTGCTCCCGCTCCTCCAGGCGGTCCTGCTGCTTCATCAGCATCTTCTGCAGAGATGGGAGAGAAAAGCAGCTGTCAGAGCCTGGCGGCCACACATGCCAGAAAACTTCAGTGCCACCCGCACCAGCTCTGCCTGCATGGTTTGGAAGGGGCAGGGCTTTTGCCCAGCAGGATGCCATTGCCAAGGTGAAAGCCCACACATGTCTGGTGGCGTTGGAAACCTCGCTATTTCAATGGCCGTGCAGAGGCTCCATGAGTGCTGGGCTGCCTGATCGGCTGGGGACCCCTGGATGGGGCTGGTCCCTTGCCAAGCCTTGGGGATCCTGGGGAGGACATGGAGAAGCTCATCTCTCACTACAGCAGCCCCGTTTTGAGACCCATCACCCACTGCCGGCAGGCTCCCGTGAGACACCGCTTCCCCCCTCACGCCCCCGTACACCACGCCAAATCCCTTCTCCCTTCCCTGCCTCTGTGACAAGCCCCAGAGCCAGCATCAGCGTAATTGGGAGGGACAGAGAGAGGAGGAACAGGGCCTCTCCCTGCCACACTGGAAGGCCCCCTCTCCTTGGGGCTGGGGATGGGTCATTGATCTAACAACTGGGACAAAACATTATCCCCAGCAATCAGCATGAGCACCTTGCTCCCACGTGCTTCCCTGGCCAGGACCAAACCCACTACCCATGAGAGAATGGCTCCATTCCTGTGAGCAGGGGCAGGGCTTCCCAAAACACCCCTCAAAATCAACTCCTAATTCTTCCCCTCTGTGGTTATCTGGGGGGGAGGCCACCACACCAGTGGGGTGAGGAGACAGGCTTCGCCTGGCATGGAGAGGCAGCATTAGAGACTCTCAATGATGGGGGCAAGATGGGAAGAAACTGCCAGCAAGGATGAATTTCGAGGGGATTATTGCTATTATAAACCGCCACTTGGGGATTTATAATCAAGTAATTAATTCCTGGACGAGGCGGGAGGGGGAGGGTGGCAGAGGCGCTGCCGGGCTTAATTGCATTGCAGGGAAAGGCTGTCACCTCCGACTCAATTCAGGAGAAGGAATGCG